AGGAGCAGCAGAAGCCGGCCGAGTCGGCCCCGTCGCCGGCGCCGATGGCCGCTAACAACGTGGCCACGCCGGCGGACGTCAGTGCCGAGGAGCCGGCCGCCCAGCCGAGCCCGGCACAGGCCGAGCCGGCCGCGCCGCCGCCGGCGGCGGAGGCCGAGGTGCCGGCACCCGCGCCGCCGGCGGCTGACGGCGCCGCTCCTCCACCACCGCCGCCGCAGCAGCCCTGAGCCGGCCGGCGGTGTCATCTCCCTCATCAGTCACACCCTCACTAGCTGTACCTACTCGTCTGCGGTAAGCTCGGCTCTAACCAATCCGCAACGGATCACAGCCGCCGCTAGCTGGGATGGTGGATTCCAGACTCAGTTTCATAAAATGCGCTATCAATAAATGTCTGTAAATGTCTGTACTGTGTTCGGGGTGTCAATAACGAGAAAGACGTCTAGATCCGAGAAAATATTTATTTACACCCAAGGGCAGGCGAAGCATCAGAGAGTTTCCATGGCTCCAGTCGCCCGCACACGAGGCAATGGTTGAGTTAGCATTGCTGCCTAATGCCTATTGCCTGTCAGTCATTCAAATCGAGGGGAAAGCCGGGCCGAAATGCGCTCATAACACTGATAACCGACTGAACAAACTGAACTAAAGGAATCCGTAAACTGTGGCTGCTTGATATGGCGTGTCACAGTGTCGCCTCGTTTCAGCCTCTGTCGCCGCTGTCTGAGCCGAGTCCAGCGCCATCGGGTGCCGGTGTAATCGCTGCTTTACAGCTCCAGCGGCCGGCGTTGTCGGTGGTTAACATTGGCAACGTCGCGGCAGCTCTAGGAACGGCGACAATGTCGATATCGACTGACGACTGGCGCTGAATTTACGAGGCTGGACACTGTGTTCTCGCATGCAATCTTACCTGCGCAGGAACTCAGCACGAGTCCAGCCGTCCAGGTCATTCCCCAAACTCAGCAGTGTGGTTAGAGAGTCTCTAACCACACTGCTGAGTTTGGGGAGTTAGATGCCAAGTTAGTCTCACTGGTCTCTAATAGAGACCAGTGAGATTAACTTGGCATCTAAGATGCCGCATTCACTCGTAGCGAGAAGTCTCTTCACTCTCTTGAAATTTTGCCTCACATGCCCACACTTTCCTTCCTCATTAGGGTGGCACTTAAAAATCAATTTTTGATTTTTAATGCGTGCGGGTGGTTTTCCGGTTCCATTCCCGTAAAAAATAAGGGAGGCAAATTTTTATGGGAAAATATTGATGTTTAGAGGTCGCGAATCAAGGTCAAAATTGAGATTTTGGTAGCATATTTCAATATCATTAAAATCGCTTCTGAGTTTCCTATTACGCTATAATCGGATGATAATAAGGCATTTCTTAGTCATTTTCATATTGTTTATTGATATTCCATGCAGCTTCGGCCACGCCAGAACGCTGGTCTATGTACTCCACTACTCCAGTTCCTCCTCTTTAGTAGATTATTGGCGCCTCATTGGAGGGAGGGGCATCATGGGCAACGGGCACCCAGATCACTTTGTATGTAGCCTGGTTAGCAATTGCAGTCGATCTTCGGGTGTCAGGTTAGCGTTTTCTGTGATCTTTTTAACGACATGGAGGAAGAACTGGCGCTAATCTTTGTCTTTCATGAGTGCCAGTCCAACATCAGCGCCATATCGCGCCTGGTGAAGTCATTCACCACCCGCAGCTCCCGGACTACACGAGCTGCGGTTTGGTAGCTGCTGTCCTCCCAGTGGCCTTGGTCATTGATGATGAGCCCCGCGTCCAGGTCGTGTATCCTTGAGAGCTTTTTGAACGATGGTGTGAGGAAGCTCGCCAACGTCTCGGTCGCGAGAGCGGCGTTCATAGTGCCCACTAAGGACTTATGGGGCGGGTCCCCTCTCCTACAAGTCTATATTGCCCGCACCATGTCTTGATTGAGCCCGAGGGTCGGGGTCTAAAAGCTCCAGAGTCACCAGCCGATCCCTCAATTACTACAGGTGACGGCCGAAGACCGAGACTGTCGTCTTCGACAGCTCCTTGTCGGGGTAGGTGCAGAACGAGTTCACGAAGGTCAGGTCCAGAGCCGGCGCAGTGGCAGTAGAGTCCCAGACCAGGCGGCGGCGGCGGCGGCGAACTTGCAGGCAACGAACAGCGCACAGCGTGTGATGACCTGGGCCTCGGCCGCCGTCAGCCGGAGCCGCTCCCTGAAGAGGAAGGCACCCACGGTACGGATGGTCTTTGCCATCCACCTAACTCAGTGGAGTACTCTGAGGCGGAGAAACGGATGCCGTGCTTGGAACTCCACCGAGAGCAGTTACGCAGAGCTCCAGAAGTTTTCGGTAGTCTTCCCGGAGCTAGGCATAGTCCAGCGATGGAAGCGATGGAAGCTGACCAGCAGCTTGTCCCACTCCGGAACGGCGTCGACGGCGAACGCCACCGGTGTGATCCTGTCAATGAAGCATGAACTCCCACCCGCCTTTGAACCTCTTAAACAGCCGGATGTAGAGGCCGCTCGAGATTCTACGGCAGGTGGAGAAGGCCTTCTCTAGGACCAGCTCTTACACGTGGTGCCGGCAGGCCGGCCAGCTGGAGGACGGGCCGATCCAGCTTCTGCTCGATAAGGGCTAAAGTACCGTTCACCAGCATGCTGTTCGGCGTCGTGGCGTCGAAGCAAAAGGCCGCAGTTCCGCTTCTCCAGTTCCTAGCCCCCCAGCGCTGTGAGCATGGCCTCCTGTGCTTGGATGGAGGGGAGTTTGGGAACGGCGAGGAGCTTGGCCACCCTAATCCCCCCCCCCCCTCATCACCAGGACCTAGAATCGGTCGACGCTCCTTCTCTCGCGGTTCAGCCGGAGTCGTATCAGAAGTTCCGTGCCGCAGTTGATAACAGGTTCACGTGTTCTTCACATATTACGGTTGGGCAGTTTGGCCCGGTCGAGGCCAGTTCACTGTTGGGGACGTCCGCTCGCCCGCATGCGCTTGGGAGTGTGAGTCGACGTTTCTCTCTCATGGTCGCCATCGTCAAAGACGTTCCCTCCGTGTGCGCGCCGCAACGGCCGGGTAAGTCTGTTGCTGGCACTGGCACTATGTAGAGTCGGAAGAAGCGCCCACGGAAGAACATCCCGAAAGCACAATAAACCAGTGCAGCTCAATGCCCACTCTCGCCTCTGCTTTCCCCCGCCGGCGATAGGCTGACTCCAACTTCTTCACATTCTCTTTGACAGAAAAGGAGCATGTCTCAAGAACCGATAGAACTGTGGGGCTCGTCCTCCCTTTGGAACAGGAGAGACCGTTCACTCCTCACACTTATAAGAGGATATGACCTCCACTGTGAGAAGGCACCGGTCGCAGGCCAAAAACAGGCCTGACATGGGTAAAACAGCCCAGATCAGACCTGTCTTGGCCTGACCTGATCGACCGGAAGTGATGGGATAAGCAATTGTTATACAAATAAAGGTCAAAATACGTCGGATATGACGCTTAATGACCACATATGCCATTCCAAACAGGTTTAAAGTAGTTTCCAAAAAGTTGATTTTTTCCCCAAAACTGCCAACTTTGACCTCAATTCGCGACCCCTAAATATCAATATTTTTCAAAATCATTTTGCACACATTATTTTTTACGGGAATGGAACCAGAAAACTACCCGCACGCCTAAAAATCGGATAACATAGAATTCACCCTATTGCTAAGTGCCACCCTATTCCTCATGTTGTTGAACGTAGCATCGTCTACCTTCTAACATACATACTTTTTCTACATTTTACTTACACTTTTCGTTTCCACGGAAGTTAAGGTATCAAGTAGCTTGGTAATCTATTAGCATAGGAATTTTTTATAATATGCGCGACTGACCGCTATCGAACTGGTTGTATTTATAATTTAACCCTCGCCGGCACAGGGGGGTGGGGTTGATGCAACCCCCCCCCCCTAAGTTTTTTTGCGAATAACTCGCGTAAGAAGCGGCCGATCGCGCGAAACTTTCAGTACCCTCGCATTGATCAATTTTACACCTACCCTGAAAATTTCATGACCCTGACCCAAATTTGACCTTTGACCTGTGACCCCTTTTCCGAGACCATGTTTGGCCGGAATCGCGATTCGGCGTATGTCGGCTCGCATTAGCCGCGCGTTTGCAAGCTTTTCGTGGTTTCAAACGTTCAAACATGTGATTTGATGTTGCTCCCATACATTAGGGTGGGTGTCAAGGTCACCTGAAGGTCAGGTCAGGTCATTGACCTTTGGTGACCTCGGGTGACCTCGGTTCACTTTTTCGAGTTTTACATGTTTCTAGGCTAGTTTTTGGAGCTGAATTCGAATTTAGCAACCATTTGAACATTTACGAAGTAGTTTTGGTGCCTTCGTAACATGTTGCGAAGCTGTCAGAGGCGGTTGACACGTAATACCCGTCACAACCCCTACCGGTTGACCTGACCTGACCTGACCCGACCTGGTCTAAATACTTAAAGACATAATCTCTGGTCAAAACTAACACGATATTCGTGACCAGCACCCCGGAAAACCATATAGCAGCCACACTTTACGACTTCCTAACAGGTCCCGATTTTCCCGGTTTTCGGGTCATTGACCTGACCTGGAAGGTCACCCGATGACCTAGGACCTTAAAATTGGGTATCATCGGCTTTCTCTCGTGACGGGCAACACGCTCGTTTTTTTCCGCGAAGCTCTAGCTCGATCAGGGGCCATACACGAGGGGGTCGTACCCCCCCCCCCCCCTTGTGCCGTCGAAGGACGCAAAATGGCCTGTGCCGGCGAGGGTTAACTCAATCTCATTCTGAGAGCGACAGCAGAGTGCTAAACAAAATGTGTGCAAACAAAAATTAAAAAAAAACTTTCACCTATAAACATCATCTGTTGTTACCTGTTACAATGTTACCTAGTTTTATTTGGTGAAAACTTAGTTAACACCTAACACTATCATGTATCTAAGTGGATGGTTTATAGCTTTGTTGACTTCTCCCCGTCATTCCATTTCCAAAGAACCGAACCGGTGAGCGAGTATTTCATATGTATTGATTCAACAGCCCGCTGGTCTGTAGGCGCCAGACTACGCGATAGGCAGCTCACTGCCAGTTTTCAGTTGTTGAGCAACGTGCGGTCCACAAACAGTGCGGTACAGCAACGTCCCTCACTTCCTATCTTCCTGTTTGACAGATTGCTCATTAAGCTCGTTAGGTTTCCGTTCTTAAGACTTAAACAGTGTTGTAATACTGTTAAAGTGTAGATCATTTAAATTAATATAGCTGTTGTGTTGCGATTTCTTACCCTCAATAAGGTTCCAAATGTCGCAAAGGTTTGACATCAACGATTATCTAGAATATAATCGGCTTCTTCGTCGTTCACAGGAATAGCACGATATAACTGTCTTTATAGCACGTAACCAATGACAACAGGCTGCACAACAACACGCAAGTGATAGGAAAATAAACATCTGAAGACAGCGAGCCCAACAATTAAGTGATTGCACGGCCACGCTCCTGTGATAGCTCCTCAGGAACATTTGCTTTGTTTACGCCCCCTAATAGCATCAGCAATACAAACACGATTAGGCATAGCTAGCTCGCACGAATAAGAGAATATTGCTTGTGATTACATACGCCATCCAATTGCTAATGGCGAGGGATATTGTTTCCGCCCTGATTGGCCTTAGGGATGTGAAGCAACCCGCGAACCTCAGATGCTGTGCGGGAGCTGTGTGAGCGTTCGTGTTTACCGCCGCCTGGGAGGTGTGTTCCTGGTGACGGACTTGCTCCTCCGCGTGTCGCTCAGCCGGGCAACCCGCAGCTCTGTTCGCCCGCTGGGCTTCTGGGACTGAGACCTGCCTCGCACTGGTGCTGGTTTCACCCTCTCCTCTCCGGTCCGGCGAGAGCGAACACTTCCAGCACTGTCGTCTTTGTTCAGCCGAGACCCTCGGTCCCGCTCCGAGGTCTTCTTGTCATCTCGCCCTCCCTGCTTGCTCCTGTTTCCGTCTCCGCCGCTTTTCCTTGCTTCCGTTCGTCTCTGCGGATCCCGTCCCGGGGTTCGAGTGGCAGCGTCATCTCTCGCCGTGCCACCGACGGGTCGGCTCGGGTTACTGTTTGCCGGCGGGTACCTATCGTTCCTATCCCGTCCTCGGTCATCCCTGTCCCTCTTCTGACGAGACGGAACCGGCGCCTGATCTCGCTGGTCCCGCTCAGGTCGACGCCTGTCGTCTCGGGCACCACCCTCCCTGGGTGTGGTCGCGGCGGGGGATCTTCCACTTGTTCTGGTGGCGTGATCGTTATTCTGTCGAGTTTGATTTCTGTCTCGGTTTCTGGAAGAGCTGCGCCCCACATCCTCTCTCGGTGTGGATATTTGCTGTCTCGCTTCCCTGGAAGTCATCTGGCCTTTCGGAGGAGTTCGCCGTGGACTGGGCTCCCTTTTCTTTCCCTCCGGAGGGCTCTGCCTATCCCTGAGGTTTCTGCCGAGCAGGGTCGGCTGGTCGCCCAGATCGCTGGTGGAGTTGTGCCGCCGCGGAGGCAGCGCGAGCGGGATCTCGCGCAGGTCGGCCATGGACGAGCTGCGGCTCGGCTGGCGCAGGTAGGCCGGCGCGTCGCTGGAGAAGCTGAACCGGCCCGGCATGTCGGAGGTCGGCGGGACCAGCTCCTGTCTCGGCTGCCTCTGGTCGGCCGGACTCGGAGCCTGCTCCGCCGAGGGAGCCGTCCGACTTTTCCCGCTGTCCTGAGCGGACGGCCGCTGAGACTGCTGTGCCGGTGGTGGCGGCTGCTGTGACGTGGGCGGGGACCGCGCAGCAGCTCCTCGACTGTGTCCGTGCAGACGCACAAGGGCGCTGGACACTGTAAAATAGGACACATGCAGTTACGTGTGCTATAAGGTACTGGAGCATAACCCCTTTGAATTCATAAGGTACATTTATTACTTTTTCCATGCAAAATTCACATACGAGCAGCAGTCATCACACGCTGTCAGACGACCGATCACTAATGCTAATACGAAACTAACACCGATGAACAACATATTATAGCTAAGCCTTACAGCTAGTTAAACACACAATTGAACACGAATCGTAAGAACTAAGATCGATATGCGTCGAGGTCGGGTATTGACATTAGACCCGGTACGCTGCCGCCTAGGCGACATGGTCATGAAAGGCTGAAAGTCGTTAGCTACAGGGTCAACGGCGCGAAAGAAAAGCAAATGTTACGCTAAAGCGCACTGGATCATTCAGGCTTGATGACTTTTGGATAAAGTGTTGGCAATGCATTCTTTGCACTCTCGTCTAAACGTTGGCTTCCCTGAAGACCGCTTCAAATCGGCAAGCGAGCTGGAATGAGGTGATGAAGCCTGCAGCCCACTTTGTGTTGCGGGCGTTTGGCCGACTCATGGCAATTGCCACGGGGAATGGCTTTGGACTAGCAGTCATTGTTGTGAGGGCCGAGGGTGGTTCTAAACTCCCAGTTATTGTTACAGGGGTTGGAGATGAACTCAACAATGTTTTGGGAGTGGACGGTGGACTCACATTTGTTGCTGCTGGGACTGGCTCTGGGCTCACAGTTTCTGTTGCGGGGGCTAGTCGGATACTCGTTGCAATAGCTATCGGAGTCGCTGCGGGGTTCGGTTGGACACTCTCATTTACTGTTGCCGGGATCGGTCGCGGACACTCACGTTTGTTGTTGCGGGAGTTAGTCGGGCACTCACATTTGTTGTTACGGGGGTTGGCGGGGCACTCACATTTGTTGTTACGGGGGTTGGCGGGGCACTCACATTTGTTGTTGCGGGGGTCGGTCGAACACTTACATTTGTTGTCGCGGCGGTTGGCCGGGCACTCACATTTGTTGTTGCGGGGGTTGGCCGGGCACTCGGCGACCAGGTGGCTCCGCCAGCCGGCGTCATAGGGCGGTGTGTTCTGGTGGCAAAGGGGACAGCGGTTCCCGGCCGGGCCTGACCTCCCCGCTGCCGGCACAACAACGCACGCCTGGTTACAGCACATACACACAAACAGGGCAACAAACACCTGGGAACAGGGCTGGAAAGACATGGACAATATGGTGCTGGCTGCTGGTGGCACTTCTGCCGCTCATGTTTTTCTCCGGACTCCATCTGACTTTGGAGCACACACTGGGTACTTAGTGCTGCACTGCGAAGTGCGAATGGCGTCGATTGCAGGCTACTGTTAGTTTATATTAAACAGCTGTATGTTTCTTGCCTTTAAAATGTTTTAGGGTTCTTTGGGGACTGAGTGCAGCCATGCTGCAATCACCGAGCGTCATTATAGTGATGAAAAATTGATGGTCCTACAGGCCATAGTTGTTAAGTTATATGATGCTCAGGGCCCACATGCGACAAATATGAGAAGCACTCACGTTTACAGTTGTTTGCATATATGTGAGCGTCGTAGTCTTGTACCGGGATCGCTTCGTGGCATGTTTTGCAGTAACGGTAGTTCTCGTGATCCTTACATTCACCTGAAAATATTGGCATGGAAGTATTATTGACGCGCACTGTATTCCGATATGTTCTGTCACACGCCATACACTCACTGATATGAACCCCCGCTACGCACTGCGTTAGTGATGCCTCGGACCTGCCCTGCCTTTCATCTCAAAATCGGCAGTAAAGCGTTCTATTCAGCCTGCAGTAACCTGTGTTCACGATTTGATCGTTCGTTTAGTAGCCAAACGGTGCTGTTTGGGAAATATTGGCTTGCTACTTTCGGGTCAACCCATCCCATGTCTAGTTGTACAGGTACTGCGGCCTGGGCTGGTTAGGTGTGTACCAACAGTCACACCCAACCGGGGCACTGTTTCACGGCTCGCCGCTACAGTGCCCTACGCTGCGCTATGAGTATTGGTGCGGCGTTTGAGACGAATTCGCCTAGACGCTTCAGCGTTGTGAGCGTCCGAGTTTGTTGATGCTTCCATGGAAACCCAAAACACCGCTACGCGAAGCGCGCTGTAGGGCAGTGCCGTGAAACAGGGCCCTGCTTGGACGTAAACGGTGTACCGTGTAGTAAGTCCATACGTCCGTAAGGACGTAAATGGAGGTTAGTCCATGGCCTGACGCTCTTAGCTATCTGGATGCATGGATGTTGGGCCACACTGCACACACTTACTCAGGAGGTGCTCCGTGTAGCTGGCAACTTCGACCACTTGTTTGCAGTTTTTACAGCGCAGCAGCATGGGGCAGTGTTTCCAGAAATGGTATTCCATCCCGTCATCGGTTACGTACTTGTCGTTGATGTCTCCGCAGAAAACGCACGTTCTGGAACAGCGCTCCGGTCAACGCTTAGACCCAGGTGACATGACACTAGGAAGTACTGAGTAGATTGCGTGCAATGCATCTAATCGGCTTATCGATAGATATGAATCCTACACGGCCACGCACACAGACGAGTCACGAACACGCCCATACCGGCACGCACGGACACACGCACGGCGCACACACGCACACTGCGCAGTCTGCACACCCACGTCATCGCTCATTCAGTTGCTCGATTATCCGTCCATCCACTCGCTCTCACCTATCATCCTCATCCTGCTCCATGGGCTGCTCGACGTCCGTGATCACACTGGCCAGCGACTTGGAGCGCACCGCTCGGCTGAGCTCGGCCTGCTGGCCGTCGGTCACCTCGTGCAGGGGGGCCGGTCCGTCCAGACTGAGCACGGCCGGCACGGTGCTGCTGCTGCGCCGCTCCAGCTGCCGGGAGCAGCGGGACGTGGCCAGCGGTCCGGGGGATAGGATCAGCGCGGCGGGGCAGCCGGGCGCGGTGGCATGCACCGGTTTGACACGATTGACACCGCTCAAAAATATCCATCAGCCAGCAGGGTCCATTGTTAACACGATAATGACCGGCTTTCGTGTTAACTTTAGGGCTGGCGCCTCGGGCAGCCTTTCCCTAAGCACACCTGCATAACCCTTGATGACCCAGAGCCATATAAAAGTAATGAAATGGTGGAGCACGTATTGTCCACGACTGTCTGGAACAATTAATCGTGGTGAGCCATGCGAGGCTGAAATTGAAACGCTCTTCATGAGATAGGTCGTTGATATTCGTAAACATAATCACATCTTTCTCTGCATGTGAAGGAAGAATACCTATAGTAGAAACATGAGAGTAAGAATATGTTTAATGTATGATATGCAACGTAAAACTTACCTGCAAAGCTGCGTAGGTAACTGTATCGCTTTTCTTTTTTGTCTTCCGAAAGGATTGAAAATACGCAGTAGTCGTTTTAATCGTTACCTTCATATGGTAGGTACTTTTGATATATTTTATAACCAGTAAAACGCCTTTTGGGCGAAGAACGAGCGAGCGAGATAGTGAGCCCTGCACGTGCGGAAGGGGGAGAGGGTACTTCCAACGGGCCTGTGCAAAGCACCCTTCTAACCGGTCGCTAGCGGTGTGCAAAATTTGAACGCAATCGGCCCAGCCATTCCTGAGATCTGGAAACGGCATTCTGCACATGCGCACGTGCAAACGGGGTCCAAAATGACTTTTGCACGGCACCCTACTAACCGGTCCCCAGCCGTGTACCAAATTTGAGCGCAATCGGCCCAGCCGTTCTCGAGATCTGGAAACGCCCCCTGCACGTGCGCACGTGCAGTAGCACCCTAGCCGCAACACATGGGAATGCATTGCCTGGTGGGTGCCTAACCTGTATGCCAAGTTTCAGCGAAATCGCCCCAGTAATTACCGAGTTACTGAAATGGGAACAAATTTGGCACCTCTTCTTTTTGCATTTTGCACGTGCAGTGGGGGTCCCTCACATAGATCAAGAATATCCGACCTTTGGTAGAAGGGATGCAGCTACCCAACAAAAATTACCGCAAGACAATCGCCCAAGCGGCTGCTGAGATATGGGTCTCTCAAAATCACTACTTTTGCAAAACAGCTTGAACACTGTTGACTTTTCACGTGGCACGTGCCACGACGGTCACTGAGATGTGTCAAAAGTAGTCAATTACGGGGTAGAACTGCAGGGTTGCGGAGTCGATGGATTTTCGGCGACTCCGACTCCGACTCCGACTCCGCCTTTCCAAAACCAGCTCCGACTCCGACTCCGACTCCGGGCAGAATTGTCGACTCCGACCGACTCCAACTCCCAACTCCGACTCCGCAGACCTAGCAGGGCTGCGGAGTCGACAGATTTTCGGTGACTCCGACTCCGACTCCGGCTCGGGTTTCTAAAATCGACTCCGACTCCGAATCCGACTCCGGTCACAACTGTCGACTCCGACCGACTCCGACTCCGACTCCGACTCCGCAGCCCTGGGTAGAAGGAATGGGGCTACCCAGCAAAAAAGACCGCAGGCCAATCGGTCCAGCGGTTGCTGAGATATAAGCCTCTCAAAAGCGTTACAGGCCGGGCCGGGCCGGGCTGGGCCGGGCCGGGCCGGGCCGGGCCGCTCATACTGAGATTTTTCCGTTATATTGAAAAGACTCACTTCGCTCGCTGCGCTCGCTCGCTCGTAATGATTATTTTGTCATCTGTTATACACCACCGCTCCCCTCAAAGAAGCGGTGACTAATCTGTGGCATGATGCGCTCTTTTGTCTGAATGTGTGGGATTGCCAAACCGCTGTACTCCGGTCTGACCTGTATGTGGCGAACGAAGACGGAGAGACAGCGAACGCCTGCATAAAGTACTTGCCATATATGCTACTTTCGAACTTGTAAAGCTTGAGCAACTGGTCTGAGCACGGCACTCCACACATACACACATTGGCGTCCAGTGGTTTTCTATTTACAGCTATAATACTGACTGAACTTCGTGAACGTCTACAAACTCAACCACAACAAACCAGGGACTCGTCTCTTTATATGCTAACTGGGCAGTGGTCGAGGCTGCGGTCACCTAATTCTAGAACGAATGGGGATTTCAGTACTCGATAAACACATGGAGATGTAGCGTAAATGATGTCGCTTTTGTTATGATCTGTGTCGTAGAGCCGGTGAAGCATAAGAAACACCAGTTGACTAAATGCATTGTGTGTTAAAGCGCCGACTCAAGTCTCCTTAGCGATTGAACCAACATCCCCACCTCACTTTTGTGAGGCTGGCAAGATATTAAGGTGCTTTCAAGTTCAAACGTTCCTGCACAATTCGTGATTCGTGCAAGCATTAGAATGCAAAGTTTGTTTGGGGAAATTTTGAGCCCGACGTTTTCTGCCTCCCCTTACCGTAAAACAATTATTAGACGAGTCCCTGCTAAGACATGAAACTAAGGGCGTATATCACAGTGCGCGCTAGTTTATACAGTTAGCAGCGAGATGTCAGGCAGTCTGGCGAGCATTCCAGCCTCGGAGCTACTCGAGCGATTTTATAAATATTACACTGCAATCACAAGCGCTGGTTGTCGGAACATCTTCCGTGGAGTCCGAAAACTGCCTGAAGGCCTAGGAGCGTGACATTCCAAGCGCGAAGCAGAGGCAGCAGCAGCAGCAGAGCGAATCAGCGTTCCTCTATCTACCTTACCTTTTTGTCCATCTTATCGAATTCAGAGATTAGGGTACGGTAAGTGAGGCTTTTGCGCGTCTTAGTGTCAGTGGGCAGCAGTTTGCGGACGAGCGCTCTGTCCTCGGGGTAGATGAGGATCATGAGCCGGGTGCCGGCGGCGCGCACCGTCTCGTGCGGGTTCTCCACGGCCGATAGGCCCAGCTGGGCCACCGCCTTCACCGACATGGCGCTGCCGCAGACGGTTAGAGAGATTGTCAGAAACACACAGCAGGACACCACACACACGGCCAGACTTTTCCGACATGGGACTGCCGAAGACGGACCAACAGTCAAATACCTATTTATGTGCATACTGCACATACTGCACAACACTACGACGCATGGCCACAGCCAGGCCAGGCCCATATCTGAGGCCATGTTGCTCTGGAGAAAACATTGTCATATCCGGTACATATGAACAATGATGATTTGACCTATTGAATAAATACTAACCAAACTTTAAGGCAGAGGGGCCCCGGCCCATGGCCAACTATGACCTATGTAGTAAAAACGCAGCCTGGGAGCTGATTGTCAGGCAGGGCAGATGGCAAAACTGGCAAGCGTAAATGTTAAGTAAAATAAAAAAGTAAATTAAACAATGTTCAGACAAACATGCATTGTCCCCTAAATCACACAAGGCATGCTCACCTATCCGGCTCTGAACTCAGTCCGTGTTTGGTGACCATTTGCTCCACCACCTCCAGCCGGGCCTGCGCGATCCTGGCCGAGACCGCGCCGTTCAGCGGTGCCGTCATGGCCGCCGCCACGACGGAGATCTGGCGGGCGTGCGCGACCTCGGCGAGTCGCACCAGCGTCTCCACGGCCAGCGACTGCACTCGCGTAGCGTTGTCCCCCGTTTTCTGGATCAGCTCGGGTAGCAGCGTTTCCATGGCCGTGCTGAGCTCTCGCCGGGACGTCCTGTAACGGCAGACGACAGTTACGATCGGCGTTTGGTACAGGGGAGTAAGTGCCCAGACTTCTTGGCATGGCGGAACCGTAGTATAAGCTCCGCTTAGATACGTGAACGGAACTAATAAAACGTAATATTTCAAAACATTAAAATGTAATTAACATCTTTACTGGAGGCCACACTTTTTGTCAATGCAGCACTTGGAGCTACACAGGAATATACCAAAGTGTGGAACGACGGGTTGCGATTTAGAAGAAATCGCATCGCAGGTGGAAATATTGTTCTTACGGGACCCTGCACTTACTTGTGTTTGCTGGCGTACGGCCCAGTGAGGTAGTCGAGCGTCTCGGCGGTGAGCTGGAACACGGTGTAGACCTTGTCCCGCAGTGACCGCTGCAGCAGCATTGTGGCGGCCCGGGTCACCTTGTCCGGTTTCACGCCGCCCTCGCCGGCCCGCAGCGTGGACTGCAGCAGCCGCAGGCCCTCCTCCTTCTGAGCGAAACTCTTCGCGTAGAAGTTACCGACCTAGAGTGGAAGAATAAGGTGTCAATGTTATGCTGGTTTCTTTTCGCGAGTCTCAACTTTCGTGAGCCTTGTCAATCTTTTACGGATGGTTGGTAAAAGTAACGATGTAGCCTTGAAAGATAAATTGTCTTCAAATAATTAGAACACTGAATTTCTTTGAAGTCGCAACAAAGCCACTGTAAAGCTTCAGTGAGCATGCGCTAATTGTTCGGCTTTATATCCATTGTTCAAATTTGAAGGCTGCTAGCAAAACGCTGCAATCATCCTTTAATATGTAATGATAGTCCACTAGCGTTTTTTTCATTTTGCTGTGAGTGGATAAATTTAACGATGTTGTCCAATAAATCCAGCCATACCTAGGTCCCATTGCATCACGGCCTGGATTATGTCATGAGTTAATGAGGTATGATGGAGGGCGTAGGGTGAAATATTACCGACAAAGTTATCCGTTAATTCCTGCCTTACCTCAGGGTAAGCCATTTGCCTGGAAAATTTACTTACCGAGAGGCATGTATCTGTAATCACAATGCGCACTATGGACTCACCAGAGGCTCTCCGAACACCTCGATGGGCAGTGACGCCTGTTTTCTGTCCTGGTCGGTGAGGTGCGGTGACATCTCGGTCCGTCGCTCGGCGTACTGAACGCCCGCCGTAGCGGCCAGGCGCTTACTGAAATTAGTGGCACGTTAGGCATCGAACTTTTTAAAATAAATTCCCGAGGCAATCATGTGAAAGATTAACAGTGCATACAATCGAGCATACGTTTTTATTAATGCTATCCAAATTATTGTTTATTCATAAAAAGAGAGGCATTCGAAAGGGAAAAATACCGGAAAATCGATCTGCTTGAAAATCTGTCTCCATGCGAGCTAGATCTTGTAAAATCCATGACAGGACAATGCAAGGAAACAAAAAGTGATGACGTTTCATTGCTCGAGAAATCAACTCACACCAAAATGCCACAGACCAAAATGCCAGCACTCCACTCTTCATTCTCATTCTCCATCTAAAGAAAATACAAGCCGAGTAAGAGGCTACAAACGAATACAAAATCCAAGCATCTAGTTATCTGAATCTCATTCGATTGTAGTCTCCTCCTCTTCTAAATATCGTTGCTTGAGGTCACTATGCGTGATTAATAAAAAGGTCATCATAATGTCACAATTTAAACAATTGTCCCATTGAAGTTTCCAGAAGACCACAGACCGAGGTTGCCGAGGTATGCAGAGGTCTGTGTTTGGGCTTCCTTGGATTCGCCAAAATGTCTTGAGAAAAGAGTCAGCAAGATCCGGTCAAAACGTCATTCAACTAAGCTCAACAACTACTAAACTTGCTCGGTAAAAAAGATTTATGAGCATAGGAGCTCGTCAACTAGGGCACTGCATTGACCAGTGATCGGGGTAAGATATCGGCTATTTCTGACAAATATACAATCGTCACCTCGGCAGTGCCATCAGACCTATCGTTTTGTGACCCGGGGCGCGCCCCGGCTCCCCACTGCACTGCACCCCGGCCAGGCCGGGCAGCCGGCCGGCCGCCGCGCTCACCCGCGGATGGCCGGCAGCGTGCGGTCCTCATACAGGGCGTACTTGGAGGCCGGCTGGGGCGGTGTGGGCGGCCGCTCGGCTGTCGGCTGCGCCGGCTGTCGGCCCGGGACCGGAGACGCCGCGGCCGGCGCCGGGTCGTAGCTGGGAGGCGGCGGCGGCGGCAGCGCCGGGCCCGAGGACTCCGGCGTGGGGAACAGCGGCGGGGGAGGCGTCAGCGGCTTCTTGGGCTCGGTGGGCGGCCGCTCGGGACTGCGGGGGATCGGCGGCAGCGGGTCCGACTGGGGCCGGCCCGGGGGCGGCGGCGACGGCGGCCGAGCCTTCTTCCCCGGCGGCGGCGGCAGCTCCAGACGCATCAGAATGTCGTTGTTTGAGTTTGTCTGAAAAATGAAGACATCCGTGTCCAGTTAGATAAGAAACATGGTCTTGTTTTGCAACAAATGACAACAGAAAAAAAACTGAACTCAGAAATTTAATCGGGCTCACCTTCGCAACACACCGACTGAAAGGGTAAACATTCGGGATAAACGGAAGGGACAACGAGTTTGACAAACTGGGTGAGTGTTGAGTAATGAGTGGTTGGACAGGTCGCAGATTAACTTGAGAGTTCACCCATATTCAACGTTGACACTCCATCGTCCTGAATCCTTTGACACTCACCCCATCGTCTTCCATGAGCTGTTCCACTTTGAGCGCCTCCCTGACGGCCTGCCTGTACTCGTCGATGTGCTCCTTCTTCTGCTTGGCCTTGTCGTAGTTCTCCTCCTCGATTGCCAGCCGTTTCTCAATCTCGTATTTGCCCAATCGCAGACCGGCCTTTTGTAGCAGCTCCACTGCGTCCTTACAGTTCTGGGCGTAGTCGAATCTCTCATCTGTAAACATAATGTATATAGGTAGCGTGGAAAGTTATAGTTTAGTTTAGTTTAGTTTATTCAATCAATCATCCACAGGCACACACCCAATGACGGATGAAGTCATAATATAAAACAATAAATACATACAGCACTAACACCTTAAAACATAAGACAGATGTATAGGATAGTTTCGCAACATTGCCTGATTATGAGCCCTTGCCGAACCTATCGATTCTCTACGTAAGACGTACCTAAGCCCCGGCCAGGAGGTGTGTGTGTGTGGGGGGGGGGGATGGGGAGATCCCTTCGCCGCTCCGCCCCTAACTGAGCTTGAAATTGGCGAAAAAACAAGTGTGCGGTAAAACTTGGCATAGCTTCAAATGAATACCTAGGCAATGTTTGAGGAAAGTTTGGTGGTTGTAGCACCTAAGATGACGTCACAGTGACGTCATAAAGTTTTGTCGTTCTCCGATATGGACCGTCCGATATGGATCTGATGATGCTAAGCATGAAACTCAACTGTAAATGAACTAGACAGCACCTGCTGTCATCCTAAAACATCTAACTACACTTCCATCTAGTTTCTGACCAATAATCGACACTTTATATTCGGTCCCATATATCTGATATATCGTGAGGAATATGAGAGTCGCAAATCTATAATTTCACTTATGACGTCACTGTGACGTCATTTCAAATGGGATCGACACCAAATTTGGACACAACCTCGGCTAGGTATTCAGGAAGATGTGTGCAAAGTTTCGCTTCTCTATCTCTTCGCGTTGCGACGATATCGTCCAGGGCATATTTTAACATACTGACTGCGTCCCATTTTGGGACGCAGCCCCCTGCCTTTGGGACGTAGCCCTCGCGAAATTTGGACCACTGCGTCCCACACTGAAATGTCACGGTTTCAGCGGAAAAGTGCGAGCAAAAATAAGTAGGTAACATGCATCGGTCTTTTACTGTGTAACGGATGTTGCCTTTCCAATTGCTTTGTGCCCTGATTTACTATGTACTATTTACTATGTACGAAGTATTGACGAACGAGCTGTTCAAGATATATCGATTGCTTTTTCTGCGCCCTCCGCTCTGTCATAGCTTTTTAGATACCGGCGCGTTTTCGAAAAAAATCGCATCATTGCAAAGTTTGACATTTGATAGTGGCATACGGTCAGATCAGTGCCGTCATGGCCGTCTGGCCATAGGAGGATCCAGAGGGGGCCACGGGGCCATCCCCCCCCAAAGCGCCCGAAAATGGCACAAAATCGACATATTTCTGGACATAATAAAAAAACAAAGGAACTTTTATGTGGAAAAGTTTGGTTTACCTATATTACATGGTAGGCAGCAAGGAAACGAAATCTGAAGCATCCAAAGCATCCGTTCATCCAAAGTTGGATCATTCATCTATGATGGATTTTCTTTTTTATGTAGCTTTAAAATCCGATGATTTTTTGTCACAACTTAAGTGGTTGACCTTAAGTTATCTAATAATTTCAAACAAATAGTACTAGTATCTTCAATGCGAATTGGCAATATTTCACACGTCAAGCTCTATTTTGAATCGATTGGTAGGGTTGAGAAACGTGTGAGAGACGTATGTACGAGTATCACATTTTAATCATGTGCATATTCATTTTTATTCTCTAAGCATAGGTACAATTTGGTGCGTCAAGGAAGGTCAAACACGCCCAACGCCGTTCAGGGAAACGAGTGACTAACAGCAATGTAAAATGTCAAGAGGTTGGTCCGTCAAGAGGTCAAGAGGCCGGTCCGTTCTTTGAATGCGGATAAAGAACGCGCCACGACTGGGCGAATTTCGAGACTGGCCAAACGCAATCACAGCCCGCTCCCAATATCCCGCTTGCTGCCCCTCCACCAGCACAGTACACAATGGCACATGTATCTGTACATTATCTCACTTGCATTACACATATTTCGCTTGCAATGTGCCCTTTCCGATCGAAGCATGTGCCCTATGCCACCTTTGGGACGCAGTGAAAAATCCTTAAAATATGCCCTGATATCGTCGCAGAAGTAAAGGGGGGCAACTATATGCCCCCCCCCCCCAGCGGCCGGCGGGTGGCGCGGAGGCCCAGCGGCCGTCGGGTTAAGGCCCCAAATTAGAGTTCCGGTCTTTGGTAAACAGCTTCGCAAAAATAGTTGTAGAGCTTTGATTTTCACACCATTGTGTTCGTAATGCTGAGGTGAATTGAACGCTATTTTTATATTATTTTATTTTTGTAAGGGAAAGGCCGGCGTTTTTTCTGTTGATTACGTCAACTGGCGTCTGAACGAAATTAGATACCGCAAAATCTTATCATGCTCCTTTATTCTGTTCCGCGACCGTAATTTCCTTGGTCCGAATACACATTTTCTATTCAGCGACCCCATCATGGTCATTGACGACGTCTGTCATATCTCGTGACTGGACCGCGTTAATCTCTTCTAATTATCTGTCCCCGAGCCGCAGTCAGACGCGTATCCGCCACACCATGTGTCACCTCAACCCACCATATCCCCTTATAAAGTGGCGCACCTTTACGGCCGACAAATGACCTTTCCGTGACCGGGGCGCGGTTTTTCCCGCGGTAACGGGACGGCAGTGACCCGGTTGTTAGCGGCGCGCTCAGCTGTGCCGGTCATACCATATAGATCGTCCTGAACGACGCTCTGTTGTAGCAACGCTTTCGGCCGGGTACGTCAGCGCCGGCCGGCCGATCGAACCCGGCGCCACGCGCCCGGTGGGAACGGTGGCCAACACCGGAACATCGGGGCAGTCATTCCGCGATATTTTACATACCTAAATGATGAAAACTGAGGCCATGGTGTCGTTTTTTTTCTTTTTTTGAGCTCAAGTTAAAAACGCTGTTTCTGAAAAAAAAAATCTCCATTTTTTTTTTAGCGTAACCTCGATTTGAACTTGACCTTAACAAATATGAAGTGGCTAACCAGTCACTAGCATAGCATCTTTATAATGAAACGTAAAGTAACGTAAAGGCTCTGTCAATCCGTCCATTCAAACATTCGAGCTAAATTTATAAAAAAGTCAAACACGTGTCAGCCACCTAAATCAAATACAGGATTATAATGGAGCATTCCATTTTGTAGGTAGATACTTTGTTCAATCAAATAAGAGTTATTACCAAAGAGGTTAAAACAAAACCCAAAAGCTTTTATCGTTCTTGCCGATAATCGGGAACACAAACATTGATAACCGCGTCCAGCCTTCTATAATTGAGCTTTAGGGATACATAATGATCACTGACTCGGTCTTACAAAATCAACCATCGCCCGACCTATTGGTTTTCCCGTGCAGAGGTTCACTTATGACGACATAGGCCAGTGACCTGACCTGACCTGAAAATGCGCTTAGTGTCATGAGATCCAGTTTGAATAAAAGTCAGGTAAGTGAAGTTTCAGTGCTCTATCCCCGGCGTGTTCGGAGCTATTGCGAAAAAAACAACTATGGGGTGACACCTCCCCCTCCGCCGGCGAGGGTTAACGAACGCCTTCCCTTCCACGTCCAGTTAATCCTGAAACATATGCCAAATCGATATTCGTTGCAGTTCGTACGTGAAATGTGCCCTTAAGTAGCCAACCAATAATTAAGGATTTGATAATTTAAGGCTAGCAGTATAGACAATGCATTAACCCTATTCCTGGCGGGGGGGGGGGCCTCAGGAGCCCCCCCCCCTGAGGTTTTTTGGTTATATCTCCCAAACGCGTTGAGCTAGGAAGCTCAAATTTTCTGACTTTTCCTAAATGGCTTCTACGCAACATGTCTGAAAATTTTGAGTTGATCTGACCTCAGGTCAGGTCACCAGAGGCGGTTTGGTGACGCTACCTCAGAAAAGTTTGCAATCACGCCAGAGCTAGAGTTTTTGACCGATCAATTTCTTCTCTTCAGGGTTTAGTTAGGGTACCAGTATGTGCAATTTGTATATCTCGGAATTTTGATATCGGTGACCTAAGGTCAGGTCAATTTCGCGACCTCCCCATTATAAGTCAATGGGGGAAAAATCAACTCCCTGTTTTTACCACTAAAACGGGTCGGAATGGCCCCATATACCATACATGACTTCATATACGATCAACCTTCACTACCTTGAGGTCTGTTTTGCTGTTGGGCAGCTGTGAGGTCATGTGACGTCATCAAAGGTCACCAAAGGTTTTTGGCCAATAACTCCGTACAGGAACAAGATACAGACGCGTGGATGGTCTCATTGTGTTCAGCTCGTCAAGACGCATCGAATGATATACATGATGACCTCGAGGTCACGTGACCTGAGGTCAACCTTTGACCTTGACCTTTCGAGGTCAACATATATATCATTCGATGCGGATTGACGAGAGGATCACGATGCTGCCCTTAGTTTGTTCCTATCTTGACTAATTCGAAAGTTATTCGAGAAAAACTCTCTCCATATCTAGTGCCGCCATTTTGACTTTTTCGACTCCTGTGACGTCATCTTTGACCTGACCTGAAAATGACCTTTGTAAAAATTGTAGATCTTGGCCGTGCGTATCCGATGCCGTTTACCGCTTGTCGCTATCTTGCTTCGTTCTCGAGATCTCAGGGGGGGGCCGAATCGGCCCCCCCCCGCCAGTTTCTTGTCCCGGCGGAGCCCGCCAGGAATAGGGTTAAATATCGACTGACCGCTGTGACCTTTGACCCTTTTGCAAGCGGCTCGACGCTCCGCAGTTTTCAGGAGTTTGTGGTTGTCGCTATGTTGTACATCGATTGCAGCATTTTTAAGCAATGGGCTTGTGTGGCGTGCGGTAATGTTCAGTCACCCGTCTAATAGTGTCTTGGTGCATTGTCAGCAGCGACGGCATATTTTTCACAGGAAAATTTGGTTCGCGGTCGCAATGGTATGCACCTATTACAATTCTACTTTGCACTGAATTAAATTACTGCCAGACTCGTGCATGGTCGAGAGTAGGATGTGCTTGTGCATATTGAAGATTTGCGAACCCACCAGAAAAAAAATTCACTGATCCCATGATTTGTTTTTTTTTGTACCTATAGATGAAAATGTGTGCGTACAGCATGTCATACACTTCTCGTCGAGTCTGAGCTTAGAATATTTACAGTGAACCGATTCGGCAAACGTCCATACGTACTAGATGGCACCGCCGATTCAAACTCACGCTTCGCTGCGACGGCTTTTCGCGCCTCCAGCTTGCGCATCCACTTGACGGCCTCGTAGTCTGTGTACATGTTGAAGGCGAGGTCGTCGTAGCTGGAGACGCCGTCCTGGGTGAGCAGCGCCGAGCCGGACCGCTCCGGCGCCGGCATCACGGTGTTGTTGTTGGCCTCCTTCACGTCACCCAGGAAGTTGACGCCCAGGATGCTCACCTGCCAAAGGTGGTAATTACACATAGGTTAGAATATCTTAAAGAATCTTGGGTTAGAAGCTGATTCTGGGGGACGACCGGATGATGACCACAAGAAACTGTAATGAGGAAAAAACGTGATAAATTTTTAGCATTCCGAACGAGTTTTAAATCCCGACTGAATCTCACCTGGTTATATTTGTTCGCCTTGCTCATGTGATTCCTGTGAATGAGCAGCTTGATGAAGCGGCCTTCACAGTCGACGGCCACTGACTTGAACTCCCTCGCCTTGCCTCCGGTGACGTCATCGGCCGGTCCCAGGCTGATGTAGCCGAGCTTGGCGAACTGCGCGTTGGCGTACGTCTCATCCTTGCCCCGCTCGACGTCACCCACGAAAAAGTCAATCCGTTCGGCTGTCGGCAGTAGCGTAGCAGCATTAGCTCCAAAGATAGCTATAATCGCTAAGCGTATCTAAAGAAGACAAGAAGGTCTGCAATAATGGCTGATGGTTTTCGTAAGCTATTTCATATAAATTGATAAATATTGGAGAGATCGTTTTCTGTATACAGGGTGTTGCAGGTAAATTGGGAATTTTCAGACCCAATTTCAACATGCTATTAATACGGTGAATGAAAACATATAAAGTTGAAACTTCGCACGTGTATTGTGTCATGTACGCACAGCCTTGTCACTCGATGTGACCGCCGTCGGCGTCCCGCACCCTCTCGAGACGGCGCCGGAAAGCGGAGCACGCGCGCCGGGCCTCGTCCTGGTCAATGGTGCTGACTGCCTTCCTGATGGCCTTCTTCAGGTCAGAAACGTTGGCATGAGTGGTCGAGTTGGATTTTTGTTCTACCACGCCCCACATCCAGAAGTCGCATGGATTCAAGTCAGGCGAGTTGGAGGGCCATATGTCCTTGGGTACATAAAGGGGATCCTCTGGCTCAGGAAATCTTGCACCCTCTGGGAAGCATGTGCTGGGGCGGAGTCTTGCACCAGCATGACTTTGCTCAGGTCATAGTATTTCATCATCCAGGGGATGAGAGACTCCTTCAGGATGGTCAAATACGCGTCAGTGTCGATCATCACACCAGCAGGTATGAAATGGGGCGGCATTATGCGGCCATCACTTGCGACGGCCCCGAATACCATCACTGATGCCGGATTTTTGCCTTTCATCACGGGAGCCACTTCATCAGGGCTGTAGGCGATAGCCCGCGAGTTCCGGCGGTTGGCGACCTCTTCTACGATGAACTTTTTCTCATCGACAAATACCCTGACGTCAATCCCGAGGTGCTTGAGGAGATTGAGGACCTTCGGTGCCCTCTCCCTTCGCATCGCCCTTGCTGGTTCGGTCAGGAGGCTTCGTCGTTTTCTGGTAAACGACTTCATCCCGAGGTCCTCTCTCACGGCTCTGCTGATGGTGCTCTCGCTCACGTGACGGGCACGCGTAAGCTTGTTCATCGAGGTCCTCGGTTTGGCCTGTATCGAGCGTTTCAAGCCGCTCAGGAATGTTGGTGTCCGTTTTCGGTCACTGCGAGGTGTGTGAGAACGTCGAGCGACATCCCCTCCAGCTCCTACAGTCGCGATAGTTCGGTACACGGTAGACTTTGGGTACCCAGTTAAATCTATTATGTCCTTCGCGCTCTGTCCGGCGCGAACTAACTCACCAATCGTTTCCCTCCGACGCTGCTCCATGACTGCGCGATATGTTAGGATTAAAATTTCAATATCAAATGAAAAACAATTGTTGAAATTATATTGTGTCAAATTTCCATGATGTTCCTCCGCATAGCAAATTTTTTGTAAGGTCATGAACTTAGTCCCAATTTACCTGCAACACCCTGATGTAGATGTGACCATTATCAAAAGAAGGAGCTGATAGTTAGATACGGCTGACGGCAAACATCATTGCATTGCTCTGCGGTTGACCTTTAGTCTGTCAGCCTATAGGTACTGCCTGAGTCAGCCGGAGTGGGAGTGTGGTGGGTGCCACATCTACTCTGTCTCTCCCCCATCTCCTTGGCAGCTTGGCGATTGGCACCGAGTCCCAGCAAAGTATGGGCTAACATCAATATGAGTCGTACCTGACATGATACACGCACAAGTCATTGCTGCATCAGTTCGATCATGGAAAACATGTCGCAGGAAGTCGTACATCCTCCACGCTCCAGCGTGTGTATGCGCTCATAGAAAACAATGTTTTGTCGGTAAAAGGTTGGATCGTGACGCCAAGCGTCAACGGCCTCGGACATGCCATCAACGAATCAGTCACCGTGGACCGAATATCTGACGGACCACGAATCTTGCCGATTCCCACTTATTTATCCCGCATACGTTATAGCATGTCTGACGGAGCACAGAGTCATCCCCTCCCCCTCCCGACTCAATGATCAGCACCTAAACATCTGACTGGCACAGCGTCTTCCCCAGCCTTACTCACGGATCAGCAGCTGGTGCAGCAGCACCTGGATCCGACTGAGGTGGGTACGCTCGCCCAGCTGGAAGGCGATCTCCTGCGGGTAGATGCAGAACTGGCGCGACCTCCAGCCCCGCGAGTGCGGCGCCTGCACGTCCAGCTCCTGACGGCGACAACGCCACAGTGTTAATGGTACAGCGACACAACACCGGCATCACGGCGCAGCGTTATTGAGTCACTGAGATTTGTGAACGATAAAATTGCTGCCAACGCCAATAAAAAAACCTGGAGTGCCGGCGGATTGCATTTCTGAGAGGGTGGGCAAGATATCGTGGGGGCCTCCTGGCGAAAAGGGGCCTTTTGTGTATAGATAGGGGCCTCCTAGATCTGGTGAGTGAACGAACGAAGGGATAAACGTGTATCAGCCAAGTGAACCAACTAACATAATCTACTCTACAAGCATATTTTTTCCGCCAGCCAATTCAACGAAAACAAAATTCAAAATTGTAGTCAGCGGCGTGTTTAGAATATCGCGAAGGGGGGGGGGGGAGAAGCAAAGGTTAGGAGGGCGCCACCTCACCCAAGGAGGGCGCCGTATGTACAGTCCACAGCAGAAGTAATGTGCGATTTCAGTCATGGGTATGTTCTGCTTCTAAAGCTTAACCCTATTCCTGGCGGGCTCCGCCGGGACAAGAAACTGGCGGGGGGGGCCGATTCGGCCCCCCCCTGAGATCTCGAGAATGAAGCAAGATAGCGACAAGCGGTAAACGGCATGGGATACGCACGGCCAAGATCTACAATTTTTACTAAGGTCATTTTCAGGTCAGGTCAAAGATGACGTCACAGGGGTCGAAAAAGTCAAAATGGCGGCGCTAGATATGGAGAGAGTTTTTCTCGAATAACTTTCGAATTAGTCAAGATAGGAACAAACTAAGGGCAGCATCGTGATCCTCTCGTCAATCCGCATCGAATGATATATATGTTGACCTCGAAAGGTCAAGGTCAAAGGTGGACCTCAGGACACGTGACCTCGAGGTCATCATGTATATCATTCGATGCGTGGCGTCTTGACGAGCTGAACACAATGAGACCATCCACGCGTCTGTATCTTGTTCCTGTACGGAGTTATTGGCCAAAAACCTTTGGTGACCTTTGATGACGTCACATGACCTCACAGCTGCCCAACAGCAAAACAGACCTCAAGGTAGTGGAGGTTGATCGTATATGAAGTCATGTATGGTATATGGGGCCATTCCGACCCGTTTTAGTGGTAAAAACAGGGAGTTGATTTTCCCCTCATTGACCTATAATGGGGAGGTCGCGAAATTGACCTGACCTTAGGTCACCGATATCAAAATTCCGAGATATACAAATTGCACATACTGGTACCATAACTAAACCATGAAGAGAAGAAATTGATTGGTCAAAAACTCTAGCTCTGGCGTGATTGCAAACTTTTCTGAGGTAGGGTCACCAAACCGCCTCTGGTGACCTGACCTGAGGTCAGATCAACTCAAAAATTTCAGAAATGTTGCGTAGAAGCCTTTTAGGAAAAGTCAGAAAATTTGAGCTTCCTAGCTCAACGCGTTTGGGAGAAATAACCAAAAAACCTCAGGGGGGGGGCTCCTGAGGCCCCCCCGCCAGGAATAGGGTTAAGAACGATTAACCAGACTACAATGAAACTTTGAATGTAGCTTATATGTATCGTCACCCTTGCAGCTGCAACTTTAGCTATTGACATCTTCTTTCGATCACTCCGCATTAAACAATCGCCAGTCAAAGCCAACCGTTGAGATTGGTAAAACCCTACATTACTTTAGCGGTGGGCTGTACGGTGGCGATTTAAAACAAAACAAAAAAATCCTTAACGATCGCTCAGGAGGGGGGGGGGGGGCGTTTTTTTTACCACGCTACCATTTTTTTGCGTATCTATGTAAGGAAAGCGGCGACGCGCAGTGCTGCGAAACTTGGTATCGGGTTAACCCGCGCACCGACGGGGGTCTGCGCCAACTTCGTACCGACGGGGGGGGGGGGCGGATGACCGCCCCCCTGAGATCTCAAGAACGAAGCAAGATAGCGACAAGCGGTAAACGGCATCGGATACGCAGAGACAAGGTCTACAATTTTTACTAAGGTCATTTTCAGGTCAGGTCAAAGATGACGTCACAGGGGTCAAAAAAGTCAAAATGGCGGCGCTAAGTATGGAGAGAGTTTTTGTCTAGTAACTTTCGAATTAGTCAAGATGGGAGCAAACTAAGTGCATCATCGTGATCCTCTCGTCAATCTGCATCGAATGATATATATGTTGACCTTGAAAGGTCAAGGTCAAAGGTTGACCCCAGGTCACGTGACCTCGAGGTCATCATGTATATCATTCGATGCGTCTTGACGAGCTGAACACAATGAGACCATCCGAGCGGCTGTATCTTGTTCCTGTACGGAGTTATTGACAAAAAAAAAAAACTTTGGTGACCTTGGTGACGTCACATGACCTCACAGCTGCCCAACAGCAAAACAGACCTCAAGGTAGTGAAGGTTGATCGTATATGAAGTCATGTATGGTATATGGGGCCATTCCGACCCGTTTTAGTGGTAAAAACAGGGAGTTGATTTTTCCCCCATTGACTTATAATGGGGAGGTCGAGAAATTGACCTGACCTTAGGTCACCGACATCTAAATTCCGAGATATACGAATTGTAGCTACTAATGACCTTATAACATCCTGCTTGTTTCAAAGGCCTCCGACATCTGCTGTAGCTCTGGCACGGTGACAAATTTGCAAAAAAGTGACTTGAGGTTGGGTCATTCAAAGTGACCTGGTGACCTGACCTTAAAAGTTAGGAGGTTCAAACTTGCACACCATGTGTAAAATTGATGAGAGAGTAGTCATACCAAATTTCGCGGCGCTACGCGCCGCGGTTTTCCCGCTATTCGCGAAAAATCTCAGGGGGGCGGATATCCGCCCCCCCCCCGTCGGTGCGCGTGTTAATATCACACGCGACAAAAAGGTTGCAAGCGATTGGTATATGGGTACCAAATTTCTTTCGGCCATACGTTCTTTGAATGCTGCGCCGAAGTCCTGCAGAATTTTTCAAAAAACAACCTTTTTCCTGCTTTTTAGGCAAACGTATTCACCGTTCGAAGCTTTTTTTGTCCCTTTAGCAAAGTTGGTGGGAAAAAAAAAGGTTTGTGGAGACGTTCTGCCCATGGGTGACGGTGTAGAAAAAGTTTATTGGTGACGGCATCCACACAAATCACCGTATCGAATCGACACCGGAGCAAGAGATGCGAAAGCACAAGCTCACAGCGAGAATGCAGCAGCATAGCAGCAACAATTTTCAGAAACACCAGTCATGATTGTAAAATCAATCAGTTAAGACCAAGACGGGTTTCATCCATGTTAGAGCGCTCAGGAGCTTTGGTAAGTATATATAGGAGCCGGCATTAGTTCAAAGTGTGTCATGTACGAACCATAGGTAAGGGGGGTTTTTACACCTTAGGAGGGGTGATTTGCGGTCTTGCTACCGAAACCGAACTGACTTGGGAATATGAGGAAAATACCAACTTTTTACCAAATTCACAACCTCTTTTTCATTAGTGAGGATTCATAGTACCAGCAAAATACCAAATAAATTTGCCTTGAAATATCAAATACCAAGTTGGTATCGGTTTGGTATCGGTATACCAAAAAGTTGGTATCCGATCGACATATCTCAACATTGAGGGCCTCCCATGTGCACGGGGGCCTCCTGCCCTACGTTTAGTTCCTCATCCGTTCAGGAGATCACCTCTGTACTCGGGAAGGGCCTCCTCTGTACACTACGCGCCTCCTCTGTACGTGGAGGGCCTCCTGTGCAAGGGGCCTCCTTTGTATCCGTCACGCCTCCGCTTTAGATGGAGGGCCTCCCTGTGCACGTGGGCCTCCTCCGTACCTACGTTTCGTTTCTCCTTCGTTCAAGGGACCTCCTCTGTACTCGGAAGGGCCTCCTCTATATAGGTACTACGCGTTTTCTATGCCTGCATGGAGGGTCTCCCATGTGCACGGGGGCCTCCTGCGTATGTTTCGTTTCTCCTCCGTTCAGGGGCCTCCTCTGTACTCGGAAGCGCCTCCTCTATATACTTCGCGCCTTGAAGCCTTCTCTGCGCATGGAGGGCCTCCCATGTGGACTTTTTTGTCCTCCCAGCTAGCCGTGAGGCTATAGCCGGGGTCCCATGTGGACGTGAGCCTCTTCTGTATCCGACACGCTTCCGCTTTAGATAGAGGGCCTCCCATGTGCACGAGGGTCTCCTGCGTACGTTTAGTTCCTCATCCGTTCAGGGGGCCTCCTCTGTACTCGGAAGGGCCTCCTCTGTATACTACGCGCCTCCTCTGTACATAGAGGGCCTCCCATGTGCAAGGGGCCTACTTTGTATCCGACACTCCTCCGCTTTAGATGGAGGGCCTCCCTGTGCAAAGGGGCCTCCTGCGTACCCACGTTTCGTTTCTCCTCCGTTCAGACTTCAGGGGGCCTCCTTCGTACTCGGAAGGGCCTCCTCTGTATACTACGGTTTGCCTATGTGTATGGAGGGCCTCCCATGTGCACGAGAGCCTCGTGCATACGATTAGTTCCTCATCCGTTCAGGGGGCCTCCTCTGTGCTAGGAAGGGCCTCCTCTGTACACGGAGGGCCTCCCATTTGCACGGTGGCCTCCTACGTACACATAGTTCCTCCTCCGTTTCTGGGAGGGACTCTCTTTGCAGGGACTGGGAGGGCCTTCTGTCACGACAGAGCCAGGAGCCTCATCTTAACAGTTGTAAAGTGACCCTCAGGGAACCTTCTTTTGCATGAAAGTGTCATTTTTTGCACGGAAGCCTTTAGCCTCTTTCAAGCATAGCTGGTCCTAAAAAATGGAATAGAGGGCCTGCGGCCCTCTATTCCGAGCAAAGGGCCTCCACCCAGAACAGGGTGGGCAAAAAGATAGTTTTGCCCACCCTGAGATTTTTCAGGGTGGGCAGCTGCCCACCCTGCCCCCCGGAATCCGCCGCCCCTGGGCCGCCTGGGCACATGCAAAGTCAATTTCTAAACACTCTTCGATTTTACGAGTATATTGTACATACTAACTGAAAGATTAAAATGAGTAGCTGACCGGGCGGCAGTGGTCGTGCTTTTGAAAAAAGTAGTT